GGTCCCTTATCATTCTTTTATTACCTATTTATTATTATTATCACAACTTCCCAATATTATTTTTAAATATTGGAATCACATCACAAGCATTATATGGTCCAGAGTGTTTCTTTATACAACTCAGCACCCATTTGGCCTGTTGTTTTTATGCCTTAAAAACAAACAGACCCAAACAACATTTTATGCCCGAATCTGTCTGCCAATTTGGTATTAAAACTTTATTCTTCCAAATACATTGTGCAGCACAGTGCACTGGGCTGAGGCAGGAGGCCAGCACATTACTTATCTAATCACTACAGCATATGATAAATAATGATACTCAAGTCCCAGAACTAGATTATTGGCTTAAAAATTGAAAACAGCCAGGCTGAATTTCAGAGTGATACAGGCTGTAAACAAAGAATTGCTATTTACTTTTTCCATAAAATAAACGTCAGGATAAATGATGAACAGCAGCGTTTTTACAGATGAAATTCAGCAATTAAACAAGCCCAAAGCAAACACCTCTATAGGTTCCAAACCCTGGAACAACAGCATCACTTTTACATCTGTCTCAAAACAAGTGTGGGTAATGCTGGCATCACTACAAGAAAAGAATATTTTAACAGTAATAAAAACATATTTTTATCCTATATATTGCTCTATAATTTCATAAGGTATTATCTTTCACCATCATGTTTTCTATCTTACAAAAGACAGGATATGGAGCATGAAGCTTTGTTGAAGTTAAGAGCTTGTGCAAGTTTGCAGATGTTAAGATGAATCTTCACTGCAGTCTGCCAGCACTTGAAGGGAACTTTTAAGCAGGAAGGGAATCAATTCATTACAGTTTGATAGTGACAGAACAAGGAGGAATGGCTTTAAACCAAAGGAGGGAAGACTGAGGTGAGATGTGAGGAGGAAATTCTTTACTCTGAGTGCTGGCAGTGCTGCCCAGAGCTGTGGGTGCCATCCCTGGAGGTGCCCCAGGCCATGGAGCCCGAGCTGGGGGGCAGCCAGCCCACGGCAGGGGTGAGCTTGATGATCTGTAAGGTCCCTTCCAATCTAAGCCATTCTAAGGTCTTAGGGCAGTTCTAGATTCTATCTTCAGGAGAAGGTGCAACTTAAAGCTATATGTCTAAAGATATCTTTGTGGTGATACCTGGAAGGGAAATACCCAAAGGAATACAACATTTTATTGAGCAACGTATTTCAGTAATTGTTTTGTTCATTGCATTCTTGTCATCACCTTATTATTTTTGTTTAAATTATTACCATATGCAAACAATCATTCTCTCAGTACGTAAAACACCCAAGAAGCCACACTGAAGGAATGAACCCTGCAGCCACGTACCATATCCTCCAAGGACGTCTTTCATGCTTTGGTTCTCTTAATCGTTTTACTACAAAAGAAGAAAAACAATTGGAGATAATCAGCAACTCCAACCATGAGGCAAAGTGAGAAGTAAAAGCAAATCTCCTCGCAGAAGCATTATACTCTTCAATAAATCAGAACTTACCCGAAGGCATTTCACTTCATCCATCCCTGAAGATAGATTTTAAAAGAAACCCCATCCCTCCTCCTATCACCCACTGACCAACAGCCTGGCTGCCAGCATCCCCACTCAGAACAGCCACCCACTGCCTGCCTACCATTGCCACGGCTGCATCCTTTATGACCACAACCACAACATTTGATTTCCCACAGTAAAGCAGGTTGTGAATATTAGAAAAAGCAGTTTCTTTCACCCTCTGGAGACCAAAAGCCAAATAGGAAAGGATGGCTTGCAGTTTAGGGGCAAACTATAACATCAGAAAGAGACCAAAAGGATGAGTAACAAGACAAACATATTATCTGACAAAGCTTATTTATTTTCTGGATGACAAATTAGACTTTTGTTTGCAAACTGAATTCCAAACGAGGATGGATTTTAAAATCAGATGCTGCTTTCACAAGAAGGTTTGATAGCCTCCAAACAAACAAATAGAACACAAACAGACCAAAAACCACCACCAACAAAAAAAAAAACCAGTATGAAAACAGATGTCAACTACACCAAGGTAAAAAGCCACAGGTAAGTGTGGATATTTCAGTACTGATGCTGCCCACAAGACAAGCTGGTGTGTCCCCATGAGCCCAGGGGAGCAGAAGCCCAAAGCACGATGGAGAACATGAACTGTGGGCTCAGAAGGACAGGGGTGACATCCAGCCCTGGGGGCACCTCTGGGATGCAACATCCCATCTTAGTGGAACACGGCATGTGATGCAGGGGGGAGCATTCTGTGACTGCACAGGATTTGAAGGGGAGGATGGGAGGAATCAAAGTGATATGCAGAACAAGTTGGGGGAAATAGATAAGGGATAAAAACAGCCTACACAAACAGCAGCTGCTCCATAGCCCTGCACTGCCTCCTGCACACAGACTGTCTGAGCTTATTGAACTCCACTTCTAACTCTTTTTTCTGGGTGAGAAAACCACTTTTCCCCCCACTGGGTGGAAGCTGGAGCAGGGGACCACCACAGGCTCTGCTGCCCCATCCCAGTGCCCCCCACAGGCCAGCTGCTGCTCCAGCCACTCACCTGGCACATGTCAGCAGCACACCAAAGCACCAGGCAATGGAAACCTTTCTATGAAGGATGGGTCCACTTCCCTCTACTGCCCTAAGCACAGATCCTGAGCACCAGAGGTTCAGTGTGCCTTACCAGAGCCTTGCTACACCAACCCTGAACGATAACTATTCAAGCTATTATTTCAAAAGTAGTCTCCTAAGAAAATGTGGTTGTTGGAAATTAAAAAGTGGCAAGAAGAAAAGACTGCATACGTCCCCCAAAGAAAAAGTTGTAACAGCATCACTCACCATGGGTCTCCATGAGCAGCATGCCATAAATACGCAGCTTCTGTTACACCACAAGCAGCACCCAGGTGACTTAACCAGTTCACAGCAAGCAGTGCCTGGTCACAGCAGGAGCTGATAATACCTTCACTTGTGCAAAATGGGGCAGTGCACAGCTGTGGGCTGGCTCCTGGGAAAGCAGCCCCCACCTGCCCCAAACAGCCACGCACTGGGTGCTCAGCCCCAGCAGTGCCAGGCACACAACACAGCTCACTGCTGCTCTGAGAGCACAGCAGATGAAGAGTAATTAGCTGGGAGCGTTCAGAATTTCACACTCAATTATAAACGAAGAAAAAAGCGCTGGTAGTTTATCCATCTGATGCCAGAATTTTTCAGGAAAGGAAATAAAAGCGGTTCTGCCAGCAAGCACGGGAGCTGCCAGATGGGCAGATAACAGACAAGACAGCACGGAAGGCAGAGCATTAGGAATGCAAGCTCAAGCTCATTAGTTGTCTCCTGTTTCACGAAGTTGCTAGCAATAATGCAGGACAGATTTCACTTATTCTAAACTCTGTTTTGGAAGGCTGTCAGAAGCTCTGCTCTGCTCGTCACTCCCAATGTCTTTTCCACAACAGTAGGAACAAATAAACACCACTGATTCCCCAAAATCCCGTTAAGAGAAACGTGCTGCACTGCAGAAGGACAGCTGCTGCTGATGGTGACCCCTGTGCTTATCTCCTCTTTGAACCTCTCCTTTACACACGAAGGCAAAGCTTTTAGGAGACTGCAGTTGAAGTTTTACTCGAGCCCCCCATTACCTCCTGTGCAGCATTATTCCTTAAGAAATCACAGATTTCCCCAGATCAACCCTGCAACAAATGTCAGGCCTAATGAGAACGAGCTGAAGCAATGCCTTACAAAAGGGAAACAAGTCTGTAAGCTACACACGTGGCTAAAAGCTTCTGTGACACTGAAGAGCTCAATATCTCCTTCCATTCAGAGGTTTTTTTAAAAAGAACATCAATTTTCACTTGTTTGTTTTAAAGGGAGTAATAAATGCATGACTTTGTTAGCATGAAAGACTGAAAGCAGCAGTGCTTTTGCCATGCTGCTCATTTCTCCAGACAAAACAGAGCAGCACTGTGTGCCCAGTGTTTCACTTTTCACCCCACTGTTAATTCATAGAGTCACAGAATGGCCTGGGTCATCACAAAGCTCCAACCCCCAGCCACAGGCAGGGATGCCAACCTCCATATCTCATGCCACACCACACTGCCCATCCAACCTGGCCTTGAACACCTCCAGGGATGGACGGGGCATCCAGACTCTCTGGGCAGCTGTTCCAGCACCTCACCACTCTCTCTGTAAAGAATTTCCCCCTGACATCCAACCCAAATCTTCCCTCCCTCAACTTCAAACCATTTCCCCTTGTCCTGCAGTTATCCACCCTTTCAAAGAGTTGATTCCCCTCCTGTTTGTAGGCTCCCTTTAGGTACTGAAAGGCTGCAATGAGGTCACCCCGCAGCCTTCTTTTCTCCATGCTGAACAAGCCCAGCTCCCTCAGCCTGTCTTTGTAGGGGAGGTGCTCCAGTCCCCTCATCATCTTTGTGGCTCCTCTGGACCCTCTCCAACAGCTCCATGTCTTTTCTGTACTGGGGGCTCCAGACCTGGACACAGTGCTGCAGACGGGGTCTCACAAGAGCAGAGCAGAAGGGGACAATCACCTCCCTGTCCCTGCTGGCCACCCCTCTGCTGAGGAGCCCAGGATCCCATTTGCTTTCAGCACTGCAAGAGCACACTGCTGGCTCATGCTCAGTTTTTCATCCACCAGGACCCAAAGGTCCTTCTCTGCAGGGCTGCTCTCAAGGACTGATCCTTCCAGTCTGTGTATATGCCTGGGACTCCTCTGGCCAAGTGCAAAACCTTGCACTTTGCTGTGTTGCACTTCCCTCTCTCCCTGTGCCTTGTTACCTGAAAGCATGATGCCCAAACGCCTGCCCCTTCAGAGCCCCCTGCTCACTGCCCTGCAGAGGAACCCCACCTCCCTCCTGCTCACACTTTGCCTGCCTGCCTGTGCCCAGCCACTGTTTTCCAGCTGGGACACAGGACACCCCAGGAGCAGTTACTTTTTCACTACGAAAGAAACACACCAGTGAACCAATACTGCTACCTGAGCTTTGGAATAGAACAGTGTAGTCCTCCCTGTGACGGGGTCAGGTTTCCTATGCTCAGGGCTTGCCAAACGCTGCCCCACAATAGGACAGCAGGTAAGC